GTAGTTATCATTACCAAAATTACTTTGTTCATGTTGCTAAGTGCATAACTAAGATGATGCATAATGTTTATAAGTACGGTTCACAAAATAAATGAATTGCGGGAGGGCATAAACCCGAAGGAATATAGTACAGGCTGTGAAAATAAATTGAGCGAATTACTATGTACAGCATAGAAGTGAAGCATTTATGCGCAAAAAAAAATATGTATATCTGTACATTTAACTATACAGTGGAAGTTTTTTTTTTGTTTTTTTTTATAATCTTTTTTTTATTTAAAAATAATTTTTTTTGTTTATTTATTATTATTTTACATTTTTTTTTACTTTTTTTTTAAATATATTTTATAAAAATTTTTTTTTTACATAATAATTAAATTTTTTTTTTGGAAAGGTAATATACTATTCATAATTCCTCTTTTGGTGTGGGTTACAAGATGACATGAGACGCCAACTGATCTAGCGAGTAGATTGATATGAAAAATTAGGGGTAAAAACAAACTGCTGCTGGTCCTCTGTAACGAGAGATAAAGATTAAAAGGATTAGTGAGGGTTAAAACGACTACTCCCAGAAGCGGGACCAAATAGATTAAATATAGCAGAATTGAATAAGAAATTGTGACAAGGAATAAAAAATCACTAGTAGCCTTACCTATGGATTAGTTCAGTGAAAGAATTCTACGAACCTCTTGGGCCAGTGAACACGTCGACCAGCACGTGTGACAGGGGTCTTACTGGTGACGGTAGGAGAATCATCATTCACCACCGGAGGTGAAGTAGTTGAGTCTGGACAAGGACTAGGTTCAGTGGGGCTATTTGATTGAGCCGATGGGGAGGGTGAAGGTTCTTCAGTGTATGCCGCTTTAAGTCTGTCTATGCTGACAGTGTCTGGGCGGCCGCATCGGTCAATAACGAAAAATTTATCTTTACGACTAAGGACCTTAAAAGGCCCGTCATACGGTGGTTGTAATGGCTTTCGTATGGCGTCGTGACGCACGAAAACGTGTGTACAGTCATCAAGTCGCCGATCAACCTGAACCTTTCGGTTCTGAGTGCGTGTGGAAACTGGTCGGAGTCGCTGCATAAAACTTTTAAGTTGCTGAGCGTAACGGGTGGTATCCGGGAAATTTGGCTCGAAAGTTTCGGGAGCGATTAGCTCGCCTGGTAAACGCATGGTGGTACCGTACACCAATTCAGCTGGCGAGCACTGCAGATCCCCCTTAAGCGTAGCCCGGATGCTAAGCAGGACCAGTGGTAGCGAATCTGTCCACTTACTGTTGTCCACTGCCATCAACGCAGCTTTGAGTTGACGGTGGAAACGTTCTACTAGGCCATTTGCCGCGGGATGATACGCGGTTGTGCGAATGCGTTTGCATCCCAGCATCTCTAACAATTCTTTGAAGCTTGTGGATTCAAACTGTTGTCCGCGGTCGGTAGTGACAGTTGCGGGACATCCAAAATGGGCAACCCAGCCATCCATGAAGGCACGACAGACGGTTTGAGCCGTTACATCAGGTATCGGAATGGCTTCCGGCCAACGTGTGAAACGATCCACACATGTGAGTAAATACGAGCAGCCGTTAGACGGGGGCAGAGGCCCTACTATATCCAGGTGGATATGATGGAACCGAGCGTCTGGGGTCGCAAACGTCCCCAACGGCGTGATGTTATGCTTGGTGACTTTAGCACGTTGGCATTGCACACAAGCACGTGTCCATTGACGCACATCACGGTTCATACCGGGCCACGCAAATCTCGCAGAAATCAACTTGTCCGTTGCTCGTATGCCAGGATGGGAGAGGTTGTGGAGTGACTCAAACACAGTTCGGCGTAAAGACGTGGGAACAATCGGTCGAGGAGTACCAGTTGACATATCGCAAAGTATAGTTGCCTCACTGTTTAGCAAGGGGACGCGTTCTATTTTCAGTGAGGTTTTATTTGACAGGTGTTCTAAGTTCAAATCGTTCAGTTGGAGTTCGGCCATTTTATGAAGATCGATGGTTGGTGGTACGGACGTAGCACATACGCGAGACAAAGCGTCTGCTACCGCGTTATCCGATCCAGAAACGTGCTGGATATCAGAAGTGAACTGGGAAATATAGTCTAAATGGCGTGATTCTCGCGGTGAATACCGGTCTGAAGTAGTGTGGAGGGCGTACGTCAATGGCTTATGGTCGGTAAATACCGTAAATTGCCGGCCTTCCACGAAGTGACGAAAATGCTTGACAGCAGCGTAGACAGCGAGAAGTTCCCTACCGAATGTGCTGTATCGAGATTCGCATGCGGTAAGTTTACGTGAAAAGAAAGCAATCGGTAGCCATACATTAGCCATACGCTGTTGAAGGACGGCTCCGATCGCAGTATTAGAGGCATCTACGGAGATGCTGATTGGAAGTTGAACATCTAGATGGACCAACATTGTGGCGTCAGCAATAGCTTTCTTGATAGCTGCAAAAGCTGTCGAGGCTTCCTTAGTGAACACCAAAGACTTGCATTTCCCTTTAAGCATGTCAGTCAAGGGGGTCACGATATGAGCACACTGTGGGATAAAGCGACGGTAGTAACTAACCATCCCGAGAAAAGTGCGTAGTGCCTTGGGAGAAGTGGGTAGAGGGAAGTTTTGAATAGCTTCTACCCGGTCAGGTAACGGATAAATTCCATCTTTGTCTATCCTATGTCCCAAAAATTTCAGGGAAGTGGCTCCAATCTGACACTTCGGCAAGTTGAGTGTGAGGGAGTGTGTCACAAGTCTTTGGAAAACTGTCTGCAAATGAAGTTGATGAGTGGCTTCATCTGGACTAGCTACCAAGATATCGTCCAGATAGGCGAAGGCGAAATCAAGCCCGCGCAAAACGTCATGTATAAAACGCTGGAAGGTTTGTGCAGCGTTCCGTAAGCCAAAAGGCATTCGAAGAAACTCGAACAGGCCAAACGGTGTAATCACAGCAGTCTTAGGTATATCTTCGGGGTCGACGGGAATCTGGTAGTAAGCCCGTGTAAGGTCCAGTTTGCTGAATACTCGAGCTCCCTTGAGTGAGGCGGTTAAATCGTGTATGTGCGGGACAGGGTAGCGATCGGGAACAGTTTGTGCGTTTAGTCTGCGGTAGTCGCCACAAGGACGCCAATCTAAACCGTTATTCTTAGGTACCAGGTGCAACGGTGAGGACCACGGGCTGCTGGATGGCCTAATAATCCCCATTTCCAGCATATGCTCAAACTCCGCTTTGACAACCTTTAGTTTTTCTGGGGATAGTCGCCTCGGCTTTGCGAAAACTGGCGGGCCAGTAGTGACAATATGGTGTTTGACGTTGGAAGTCGCACATGGCAGGCCGCTGCTAGGTTTGAACAAATCTGAAAAAGACTGCAGTATATGCGAATAAGGACCAGTGCTAGTGGGTGTGGCATATACCGGGCTGAGGGCTGGGCCTTGTGTGACAATACCGCTGACGGAGAGGTTTGTGACAGGATCTTTTAACTTATGATTACCTGTATCTACCAGTAATTGGTAGTGCTGCAATAGATCCATGCCAATTATACCTGTGGTAACGTCTGCCACCAGGAAGACCCAACGAAGTGAACGACGCAAACCGATGTTAAGATCTATAAAGCGCCTGCCGAACGTAGCAATTGGCGAACCGTTTGCGGCTCGTAGTTGAAGAGACATTGGCCGCCTGCGCTCCTCTACTGTGGGTGGGATTACACTGACCTCTGCTCCGGTATCAATTAGGAAGCGTATCCCAGTGTTACGGTCGGTAACATAGAAGAGGCGACATGAGAGTGGTTCGCCAGCGACGTTAGTCGCCAGTACGTGCTGGCTTGCTAGTTTCCCGACTGTTGAACATCGAAGGTGCACGGGCGAGTGCACTTTTGGGCTTTTGCTCCGTAACGTCGATGATACCAGCACACTCCAGGCTGGTTACTTCGGGACTGTCGGCGCTTGCTGCTAGCACGTGGCAAGGGTCTGCTACTGCGCGAACTTGAGGGACTGCGTCCACGACTCCTGGAGTTCATCTCCTGTCGGATACTACAGATCTCCTCGTATAGCTTGGCAATATGGGCCACCACGTCAAAGCTTGATGACCCCCCATCAGCCATCTTGCACACAGGACACAGTATTAACAAGGTGATAAAAAAAACAATATAAGTACAAAGAAAACAAATCAAATCTTTATATCCGTGCGTGAAAAAGAAAAAAAATAACAAAATAAACGATACGTAAAGAGAATTGTTAACACGTTAAGCTATGGCGGAAAACGGTGAAAACGGGCTCACCACTTGTAAGAGTTCTACTACGGCTTAGAGTGGACCTATACTCTAAACACCCTTACAAACTTCTTCACCGTTTTGGCGACCTACTAAGCTTAGCAGTACACTACTGGACGCGCAAATACTGACGAACTGTATCGTTGTAAAAAGACTTGATGTGACAAGAGTACCTGGGAGAATTATATTTTATTCGACGAAATATAAAATTCAATAAATAAAGAAGTCGTACAACTTATCTGCAGACGTTGCTGGAGGTAGGCTCGGAGAGTGTGCAGAAGGAGAGCACAACAAGAGAGCGAACCTATGAACGTAAGGAAGACTCACAAGTCAAAAGGTAAAACGTGGATCACCGTGGGTGAGTCAGTTTAAACAAAAGTTCAAAGGTACAATGTGCACTACAAGTTCACTGCCTATGACCCCAACACTGTGATAACGACATCATTTCCCTAATGGTGGCACATGATGGGTCACTCGCCAGTTAGCCAAAAGTCGTGTGTTCACCAACTTAGAATTGCTTCGAGTTTCTGGTTTCTGGTCTGCATTGTATTTGATGAGTGCCATACACTGTGTAAGTAGAAACCATATAGGTGTAGAATCACTGGTACTCTTCTCGTGGTTTGCGGCAGAAAAAATGGCATGACTGAGGATGCGGAAGTGGATAAAAGATCAGTAAATTTAGGTGTATGCTATATCATGTAAAAGAAATTGAATATCGATTATCTTTTTGTTTATATTTGCAGTCTAGGTCCCAGGCGGTTGTCCTTGTGCAACCAGCTGTTCAACTCCTTCCGTGGTCAAGTGGGTGGAGTTCTAGGTAGAGCAGCTGTTTTTGGAGTGGCTTGGCATTGTTTGAAATAGTTGGGTATACATACACTCAATTACTTCAGTTTGAGCAACTTATATATGCATAACGGGTTTATATTAATACTTGAAGACCAATTAGTTCGGTTACCCCTCTATGTCTGTACTCATAGGTATTTGATAATCAGTTATTATGGTCATAGCCACGTTAACGGTTGTTGTAAGCTAGAAGTTTGGTTTTTTCAGAATAAGTGTGGGTTCTTTTTAGTCGTGAGTGAAGTATAACGCAGTGACTCACGGAATGTGTTATGCTGTATTCACTGCGAATCTCATTGTACGCACTGGTGGTTCATTCTGTGTCTATCACTACTTGTATTTTTCCACCATGTATTAGTTTTTAGTATATGTTCTTAATTTCGTTTAAATTCCCAAGCTTACAATAGCGCTGAATTAAGTCGCACTAATTCTGAGATAATTCTAACATTCTATAGTGAGTGAATACTGAATCTGCTCTGAAATAGGTTTTTTAATGGCACAGACTAGAACTCAGTGCTGGCTTTCAACATGACTGGCAATAATTCAGTACCGTGTTCTTTTTCTAGACATTTTTAGGAGTAGATCAGACCCTACTGGGTTTGCTTATCAGCGTTGTTCCGCCCTCACAGGACATATTAAGCAAAGACTAGCCGTATTTCAGAACGAAAAGACTTAATTCAGCACCCAGCTCGTCTTAAGCGCGACCAGCCTTATTTCAGAACATAGTAGGTAGATAAGATCTTCATTTACCATAAAAAGGCATTTTCGAATAATAGGTTAAAATAAATTGAATTGTTTTAAGCTTGGGTTGTTAAGATATACGAATATATAATGAATAATCCAACGAAGTCATTAGTTGTGCAAATATTCACCAAGGTTGCTGTTTAAACAAATGTTTTAGTGCGATATAGTGGAGTGACGTACGTATTACATAGTTATTCATAAGCAGCAGGGAATGTTATTCGCTTTGTTTTATAAATGAATCAGATAAATTATACTTGTTATATTTGTTTAACAGCGGGTGTAGTCCGGTTTCCATGTAATGCGGACGACAGTGTACCTGCATATATGTGTATATGGAATGTTCGTCAATGTTTTACGAATTTCATTGGATCTAGCAGCTCCTTTTCATCTCGGTCATATAATACTCACATGTTTTAATGTGATAACGTGATTGCAGAAAGATATACGAAATGCAACTACAAGCTCTGCAATTTCATTGGCTTGCAAAACTGTATTCTTCACAGTCATTATTTCTGTTTTGGAATAAATGTATGTTATGGAGTCAGCTGTTACGACAAAATATTTCTACCTCAAATATTTGTTTAGGCTGCAGCAGTCGTAATAGCCGCTAATGATATTGGTTCGTTTTTTAGGCAAACAAGTCTCGTTTGGCGTTTATGAACTTTGTATCTAAGCCCTTATATAAGTAATGGAAACTGAAATTTGGAAGCATACATGATTTCGATCTCAGGACCCTTCACTTAGTCATCTACATCAAGAAATAATATTTGATAGTTGTGTAGGAGTGAAAATTTCTACATAAGAAAATCATATCAATGCGACCAAGAATCTCCATTGGTTCAATTGGCTAGGATATGAGTTATGCATACTGTTTCAGTGTTTCTGGATGAGCAGTGTTACTGGCATTAAGATTATTTTGAAGAAAGTCTGAGCGGATGAAATCCGAAATATGGCACTTGTTGATGAAGTCTTTGATTACTAGTCCGAAACATGATTTTATAGGTTACACTAGGATGGTAATATGGATGAAAGTCATACAATACAGTAGATTTGGTCACGCGTTATCGTCAAACTTCGTGAGATATTTGGCCTTATTCTAATTCCCTTTCACACCTACTGATATATCGTTTCATTACATTCGTGTTTTTTTGAGTGATTTTTGGCCTGTAACTGATGTATCATGGTACGAATTTTCACGCTGATTCGTTATTTATTGAGCATCAACTGTTCCGCTTGAAAAAATTGAGTTTACTAGTGCTGCTACGGTTATTACCGCATGTTATTACCTGCAATTACGGTACCCATATTTCGTTGACAGTGTCCGTTTGGAAACTACGGATAAATTTCTATAGCTGTTCAGAACGTATTGTCACTAGAGGGTTACGGTTTGTATTACGGTTCGCATAAATTGCCGAGTTTGACAGGCTGATAGAATATTGCTTGATCCTGACGATTGCGTAATATATTTAGAAGTGTGGGAAACAAAACTGAACGCAAATGTTTTAGACGCACTTCATTTCAAGTTGTCACTTTGTAATAATACACAAGAAGATAGTATGCGGAAATAAAATATTGTTGAAACGAATAAGCTGGCTGAAAGGAAGGTTGAAAATACTTCGGTAAACATATTTTGAAGTTTAACGAGGATAAAGAGTGAATAAAGTTTCACCGTTTTGATAGAATTGAAGTTATTGACGCCAACTATCGAGATCGCTCACCGAAGGAGGTCGTGTTCACACGTGTTTATCCGCCTCAGTCAATGGAAAGTCGTAATCTCACAGACTAGATTACCTCGAGTTCTATATACCCACTAGTGCATCATTGTACCCGTCAAAGTAGCCATAATTGAAAGGTTTTATTATGATACCGTGTTTGGCAATCAGTATACACTTTGTTGAGTGAATAAGGTAAACTTGTAGCTCAAGGTGTAAATTATGCGTACTGAATTTCCTCTAGCTTAAATTTTTTGCCATGAATGTTACATTGTCAGGCTTTGTGAATTCACCAGCGATTCGTAAAGAAGTGTCCATGGGATACAAAAGCATGCTTGGCATATTATGTTTGCAAGTGTTTGTCTGGAAACCGTTTTACTGCTATATAGATTAAGGCTCAATGAAAAGTTTGCGTCTGTATTAGACCTCAGAGTGCACCAGAATATCGTTGAACAGAATGATACAAATTGTAGTATGAACAACTAATGTCATTGTGTAGTCGCGAAGCAAAGTTTGTGAATGTGTATGACATGGGAAAATTACGTGTTAACTATCATAATCACCTTTATAGCATTGTTCGTGTTTATCTAAACCAGAGAATCTGTAATTGTAGGATTAGAGTGCTACTCAAGGCATATAGTTCAATTTGTAATTTGTTTTAGCTCCTCTAGTGTATTTTTCACATATTAGCTAGTGTTAATCCATATTGAGTTCCGTTAGACCCGAAATATCATACACAGAAGTGTTTCATCACAGATAAGTTAGTTAAGAAGAAAGTACTTCATTGCACGGAATTTTCGTAACTGAATATGCCTTCAAATCTGTTACGCTGCATAGAATACATATACGTAAACTTTAGCTCACAACTTATGTATGGTTGACTGGTTTCAACGTAGAACTTCGCACCGACGTGCAGCAGTTCAAGTTGCTACACTTCATGTATGATTGAAAGTAGGACTCGGATTTGTTGTCACTGCATATTTGCCCATTATTTTCATGGGATTATGGATATTTTTTATAAAAGCACAATCACTAGTTATCGCTTTTTCAGTGTGACCGATTAACGCAGCAAAAATAAATCGTTTATATCCGCACTAATTCACCGTAAAAACTATTTTTACCATTTGACTTTCTGTTATGAAATTGACCACAATCGCAAAAGTTGTGGCAAAAATCTTTAAACCGTGTAACTTCAATGAGTCCATCGCTTCGAAGAAATATGTCAACAGTTAGACTGGTAGATTGATTAATAATTGAGTTTTCATCAAGCACCAACCACTTTTGCTACAAATTAGCTTCAGTATGAGTCATATTTCGTCATAGGATGCACTTTGCTTGTCACTACTACTTCTGTAAGTTTGCATTTCTAGGTATAATTTCATTTGAAGTTCGGAACATGTCGTGAATTATTCAGAAGCATTAAATGGCTATAGTCTATACTGCTTAACCACTAATAATTTCTGTGTTGACATTGAAATGGCTGTTCTATATATGTTGTCATTTTACCAGTCTCACTTGCTATAATAGTCCTTAAAAGCTACTCTTTAGTCCAGAGGTAGAGGAAAAGGTGAGATATGAATGTATTTGAAATGATTCTGCTGACTTATTCGGCGCTAAAATAATGTGTGCAACATGTGACACACTACTGATCTAAGTGAGACCTGGCCACTGAGAGTGGGAGACATGAAAAGACTAGCTGTCTTTGATCATAGGTGCCTGCGCTCTATTTCCCGTGTAAAGTGGCATAATAAGGTGAGCAACATTGAGGTTAGGCCTCAGTCGAGTTCTAGGTAAACAGGGGAAATCAATCGACGAAGTCGTGAAGTTACAAAGACTGAGATGGTTAGGACATGTGTTACGTATGCCAAGCCATCGCCTCCCTCGACGAGCAATGTTAGCGGATGTCGGGTCAGGCTGGAAAAAAGCTAGCGGCGGTCAAACGAAAACTTGGCCTCACCAGTCAATGAAATCCACAACAGTTGGTCTAAGCCACGTAGGAAGGTGTAGACTTCCAGGCTGGGGTCCTCGGGACGGTAAAAATCTATGGTTGGAAACAATTGGTGACATGGCTCAAAATCGTTCTCAGTGGCGCAGATGCATCCACTCCTTGTGACTTATGATTATTTAAAATTAAACTATATTGTTCTTCGTTATTACTCTTCCTTTGTCTCACCCCTCTGCTCACTGTCTCTATTATGCTTTTCTTGTACTTTCTTCTCTTGCTTCGCGTGCTACACGGAGTGTGGCGACTTGAACTGTCGCACATTTGTGCAAAGTTCTATGTCGAAAACAGACAGACTGATTAATAAGTGTACTTGGAAGCCACTTGTTTCCAACCATTGGTACTTCCGAGATTTTGTAGAGGAGTTTTTATTCGAGCAGTAACTGGAAGGTCTATACCTTTTACTAGGAAGGATAAATATCTAGTAATCACATTTGAAACTTAATGGAAGCCGAATCTGTAGTGTTCTCGAACCATAGGTTCTCTTTAACACTTAAAAAACTATCATGATTGTAGTTTATTTTCTCTTTCGCCTCATTACTTCTTCCTTAATAAGCAAATTCTACTTTTTTCTCTCTCTGAAAACTCTACAGAATGCAGACAAGTGAAAATACGAATGCCACTGCAGCAGAAGGAGATATTTCATTTTTGGATTTTTTAAACACATCTGATACGGATAATGAAGAATTAAAAGATGTTGAAAATGAAGTGAAGGAAACACAGGAGGATGATACAGCCAATGATGAAGCCTCTTCGTTAACACTTTCTATTACAAATGTCGTTGTAATGGCCAGTATGAAGTGTCATTTGCGTTTGAAAGAAATCGCCAGACTAGTGTTGATGTTGAATATAAAGCTCTTCAAAATGTGAGTTTTTATTTTTTTTTATGCGCTGTCTAATAATATCATATAAGTACAGCAATGACCGGGGTTCGATCCCCAGCCACTGACGCACTCCTTTACCTCGCTAAGCCAGAAATAATACTGGTAAAGAGGAAAGGTTGGGCATGAGGTGGCTAGCAACCCCATCCTGTGAAAATAAATACTGCTACAGAAACTTTAAAGCCGCTAGCTTGAGGCCCTGTGTTCCACTGGGGAACGTGAAGGAAAAAAAATGAATAAAAATTAAAAATGCCTAAGGTGTACACATTTCCAGAGTAACATAACATGAATCTTTGTTAGTTGGATAACTTGACTCGTTTCGCACGACTGCCTGTCAGGAAGACTACTATTTTATACGTAGAGTGTTATCTCCACTTTGCTTGTTTCTCTTAGAGTGGACAGTGAGTAGTCGAAGGTGAAAAATGGTGATATTAAATGGTTGGGCGCAATCAGCAGGAAGCCTTGGACCAGGGTTTCGTGCTAGTTCGCACTTGTCAGCAAGGAGTATCTGAAACCTTGAAGGAACTCATGTCCCTTCTGAGATTCGGATACGCGCCACCCAGTGCTTGAGTCAGAGACGTTACCACTGAGATATTCCAACTTGTGATTGACCTCTTGCAGGACTGCCGATTGAATACTTCCAACCATCTAATATCAACAATTCAAAGTACACCTTGATGGCAAGCCACTTAAAATGGTGACCACATCGCAAACTTGATTGATAGAATTCAGTCTACACCAAAGATAGGACTAGACACATTACACTAGTTATTAATTAGTGTTCAATCACCACCACTGTGCGTCGGTGGCACAGTGGTTAGGACTCTCGCCGACCATGCGTATGGTCCGAGGTTCGATCCCCTGCCGATGCACACCTGATATCTATGATCAGCCTGCGAAATTCGGGCTACCGATATCCATGCTGAAAATTCCATACTTGTACCAAAAATACAGTGTGAAATCAAGCTGTAATCAAAATAAAATAAAAAATAAATAAATGGGACGATAACTACCATTTAAGCTTGAGGCACACCACTAGGCAGTTTGCTTTCTTGAACGTTAGTTCTAGTTCTAACTTGATTCATGTTGAATTGTGGTTCTAAGCATTGAAAGCATTAGGCAATACTTTCCCTAAGCATTTCTATAGAAAGAATTTAACTTCCATGCAGACTAGTTTTTGACTGGAGTAGCCAAGTGAAAGGTCTTATTTTAAGATGAATGTAAATTAAGCTTTACTAGTAATATGCATATTGTATTACACTGTTTTATATATCCCCTTGCTAGTCGGTGAGAGCCACATGGCATGCTTTCACGATATTTGAATATTATTTTCATCAGTGTAGTCTTATTCGTGTGGTCATTTATTCTTGTCTTAGCATAGTCCATCACATAATGGAATTACCATTTAATCTAGTGAGTAAGACAAGAGGATCTGGACTTCACCGATGATATATATCTGATTTCCCACAAACTGGAAGATATGCAAGTGAAAAGCAACAAGTTGGCACAAGAAGCATCAAAGATAGGACTCCAAGTAAACATAGAGAAAACAGAGGTGATGAAGATTCCTGGCCAACACCAACAGCAACAACAACAACAGACAACAATAAGCATAAATGGGAGGAACCTGAAGGAAACAACCTCCTTTACCTACCAACATGGGAAGCATCGTTTCAACTACAGATGGATAGAACTGATGAGGATATCAAAGTGAGGATTGTGAAAGTAAGACAAGCTTTCATTACTCTCAAGTCTGTGTAGAGGTCATCAAAAATAAGGTCCGGATTTTCAACTCCAATGTGAAGTCAGTCATTGCTACTATACGGATCAGAGACTTGGCCAGCGTGTCATAAAGAGCATCTCAGACAAACTATAGACCTTCACCAACAGTGGTCTTCGCTCAATACTCAAGATCAGATGGCCGGCCAGAAAAGATCAGCAACAAGAATCTCTGGCAGTGAGCGAACCAACTAGGAACCGATTGTGAAACAAATAAGCAGGAAGAAATGGAGATGGATTGGTTGGCCATACTCTGAGGAAACCATCAAGTGACATTACTAGACAAGCCATTGCTCGAGTGGAACCCCGAAAGGGAAGCGGCGAGTTGGCCGTCAGTGCAAGGGTGACTTGGAGGAGGTGATGTGAAGAGGAGATGAAAGCGTGTGGGCAGACTTGGTGCCAAGTGAAAACGTTGGCAGAGAACCGAAAGCAATGGAGACGTGCAGCTGAAGCCTTGTGTTCCTCTAGGAATTAAAGGAAATAATAATAATAAGGCAAGAAAAGCTAAGGTTGTCACATTATATCCTAACTCTTTTTGTAAGAGAAGTGTTTTCATATCAAAATACCTTTTAGACCTCAAAGTAAAGTCCATTCATCAGCTTTTCTCCACAGTCTAGTATGGTGTATTTAGTACTTTTCAAACTATATGACACTGGATTTAATATGAAAAACTAAACAAACCCTTTAGGTTGTAAACCTAGTTAGTTTACCAAACAACAAATTTCGCTTTTAGCTGACATAGAAAAAAAATAAAATAACGTAACATACCTTATTTAATAAATAATCACCTATTACTCACGTTAAATCTAATCACAAGTTTTGAAAACCTACTACCGCGCCCACATAAGGTATATTTGTGCTTAAAGATAAAAGAAACTGTCTTTTGATCACACAGTAATGTCGTACGATTCAACTTATTGTATGAAGATATGATCTATTTTTTTGTTCAAGCCATAATTTAGTAGTTACAGCCTGTTAGTCTACTTTGGCTAACAAGATTCAGCCAGTAAGATAAAATAAGGCTATCTATACAACTCGAAGTACTGTGGTTTTACATACCAGCCAGTACATTCGCTAATGATCATACCGACTGTTGATATTCTAAGCCGAACTTTATTATATCATAACATCTTTTCTCATTTTCATCATAGCATGTTATAATGCGTTTACGATCCCCGTATACAGTGGCGACAATTTGGTCTAGTGGAAAAATATGGTGTACTGGAGCTAACTCGTAAGAATGACTTTTGACTTTGTAGTATTAATCACAATTTATTCTCTTCTCTGCCATTTTTTTCCTTATGCTACATTTGTTATTATTTTCATTCACACATAGCTGCATGTCAGGCACTGACAGACATCACACACACACACACAAACGCACACAAGCACAAGAAAATAAAAGTAATAATTCATCACTGATAAGAAGGAAATTGAACATTTATATAAATATCTGTCTGACTGACTGGTCTCAACACAGAATTTTGCATACCTCTGCAGCAGTTCCAGTTGCCGAATTCCCTCGATGTACCACACACAGTAAGAAAAGGAAGTAAAGCAAGATTCGAAAGAGAAAGACACGGCTAGCTAGCCGGCCTTTTCATGTCTTCCACTCTCAATGGTCATGTCTCACTCACAGCCATGAAGAAGGACAGAGCGAAGTGACTGCTAAGCAGTACACACGTCCTTTGGTCGGTAGCCGGCCATCCAGCCGAATATCACGTCTACTATAATTCAGAGATAGCGTGAATTGTTGTCAATTGACAAACGAACCTTTTTGTATACGAACTGAGATTTTTTCAGCGATCAATCCGTTGACTCTGGCTGATGCAACGTTCCACCAACCAGTTTACTGATGTAGTTCAGTCCAGTCGTGTTTCATCATCTGCCATTTGACGGGAGCTAGTGTCATGCCAAACATTCGAAGATTGTTGCTCAAGGTATTCAGAAGACTCTGCTGTACTTCGTCGGCGTCTTCACCTAAGAGGACTACATCATCAGCACATTCTAAGTCACCGAGATTATTCCCTGGTAATATGTCAATCTCTGAGTAGCTGAAGTCAGTTAGGGTTAAGTCGATTAATACATCCTTGGTGAAATTAAACAGAAATGGGGAGAGAGGGCATCCCCGATAGACACCACTAGTTGTCGCCACCTCAGATGATAACTCTACATAGACTGTCACTTAGCTGTATGACTTCAAGTAGGGTACCTTGATCGACTTTTAATTTATTTCCTGTGTTTGAAAATAACACTGTTATATATCTCTGAGGCGATCGCCGAAGTTCAAACATTTTCGTGGTGAATTCGAAGTGTTATTGAATAAGAAATAATTACAGTAATGTGGTCAACAGAAGTATTGTCTTATTTGAGAGACACTCAATGTATTAGCGTTATATATCGCCCATATCTCATTGAAAATTAGCATCAATATGTTGTGTCGTACATATAAAATTTACTCTATATATAGAAAGTAAGTTGAAAGACTCGAGACTATTGTGAACTATTTTCTAATACTTCAAAAAGTTTGTTGTACATTATGGAACTTGCTATCACGATAAGTAATAGATTATCTTTGTCGATCATTGTTGCACCACCTGCTCCACACAATGTTACTCGTGATAGTCTGGTACATGAAAAATTTTCTCATAACTGAACCCTAAAACTCACACGCACATGTCGGTATTTTATTGTGAACCCTAGTACACGTCACCTGAAGCCTTGAGAAAATGTGCATCTTCCGTGTTCCCTAATTCTCCTAAAGTTAGATTATTCCAGTTTCCCATCCTCATTCTTTTACTTTTCTCTGTTACTAATGTTAAATATGGTGGTTTAAAAAAGCTAAGAGAAGAATTAAAAAAAAAACGACTGCGCTGGTAATTCACCGGTGGAACACTCTCTGGTCATGCATAAAGTCCAAGTTCGATATTCCTGGTCGGCACACTCCTGAACCATTTGGCAGTTGATTTACTAACCTAACTCAGATAGGCGAAATGATGTGGGGTGGTGAAAGCATTCGGGAAGCCCGTCAATCTATGTGTCTTTTTTCGATGAAAGCAAGAATAGGAATGGGGACGCGGTACGTACATACAATGCACGAGGCGAGGAAAGCTGTTCAGGTAGCCAACTAAATGGGAAGATATGCTATAGAAGTGCTAGGAATCTGCGAGAGCAGATGGAATGGATATGAACTGTCGGAATTTTCAACTTCACAGTCAGTAATCTACTCCGGTCACCCAGACGATACTCCGAGGACATTGAGGCAGCGAGTGGCTATCACGATGTCACCAGTGACAGCCAAAGCCTTAATGCAGCGGGGAATAATTTCATCCAGGATCATGACAGCAAGATTCAACTCAAAAGGCGGGAAGGAAGGTCAAAATTATCCAGTACTACGCACAGTGCTACAAACAATTCAGGACAAGAGATTTTTACCCAAGGGAATAATAATAATAATAATCGTAAGTCTAGAAAGAAGGGAAGCTTGAGCTTGAGACTAGCAATGACACCCTATAAAAACAAAACACCGCCATTGGATCTTCGAGGCTCCAGTAGGGATAAAAAGGGTTGGAAGACCTCCACAGTACACGAGTGGTTGGCTATTAACACCTGTTGACTATTTGTGCACTTCTATGTGTGTCTGTTCACCTTTTGAAATTCTTCACAAACCATAAGCCATCATATTGTCGCCATTGGGAAATACAATAGTTTACTCTAATTGAGTACTACTCCTGTATATGTATATTTTCCACATAAAGCACATGTTATAAGACTGTTTTTATTTACTAGTCATATGATATACATTTATAGAGAAGCGGAAAACTTGTTTTAATAATAGTAATAATCTATACGCCTTATCACCTGTTTATACATATGGTGACAGGTGTGTGTGTGTATGTGTATACAAGTAAGTGGAACTATAGCTAGCCAGCTTATTGGTCTTAGCCGTCCACCCCCAACCAACTAGGTCACGGGTTTTAATTCATCCCACTCCACCTACCAAGGTTTAACCAACCAGGTTGTAAGTATCATTAGCTTTTATATGAACAGACATGAGAATTTTATTGATGAGTAACATTTCACTACATATCTCGTGTGAGGCATATTGTTGCCCCTCATAATACACTTATGTGTATAGTCTGTTTACTGGTTACATAAATTGTGGGTAAGTTGGTTTGGAGGAGTGTTGTGTTCGTGAAACTATTGTAAACATCAGTGAACCCTAACTCTGGGTTCCTATAGGAGTAATTATCTACTTAAAGAGGAATAATCTTCATCTAGGTAGGTTTGTTTTTCCCAAAGTTATGGGTTAGCAGGCACAATTGATGTTTACACCATGAAACGAAAGAGTATGCGTTATATTGCCGTTTCTCAACCAATAGAGTGTGAAAATAAGTCGAATGATAAGGCTCAATGGTGGAAGCCGTCGACTTTCAGCCGCTTGGTCCCAAAATCGAACCCCGCCTTGCTCTTATCTCAAACTGCGCAGTCAGGTAGTTTCACTAGTGGTACACAATAAGTGTGTGACTCATAGCCGCCAGCCCTTTGCTACATCAAAAATCTGTTCCGAGTAAATGAATTTTAAAAACACTGCAAATCCAGTCCACTAGGTGCCAACAGGTCTCTCTCTTTTAACAATCAAAAGTATATGTATGCCGTATGGTGTTCTTGTGTATTATTCAAACGAATCATGTAAAACTATGACTAAACGGTAACGAGTTCCACTCTAAATGTGAATAGTGATTGATAAACCACTACGATCTTGGTTGTAATTACACTGAAGTTTAACCGTATGTAATAGGCACTGGTCACATTTATAACGTTCAAGTTCATGCTCCATGGACAGGGTGTTTTTGTTTGTCATGGGAATGCTTGCTTTCACAATGTTGTAGATCATCGGGTGAGTCGTGGTGTCGTATTTTGTGTCATATTGTTATTGTATTTATTTAGGTTATTTTAATTGTTATTGAGTCACAGCTTCACTTCACTTGTGTGTGTTTTTTCTCTCTAATACACAACACTTGTAGACTTGCCAAGGCAAAAATTGGCGCACGGCGTATTGCTAGACGAATAGCAAAATGTGGTTTCCCTTGCCATTTCAGTAAATATCGTGTGGTGAACATTATGGCTACATGCAGACTACCTTTTGGTGTGAGATTAGCAGAGCTAGTTAGAGAAAGACCGATGCAAATGAGGTAATGGATATATATACATAAATTCCCTACGGCTTTCATTTTATATATGTTGTATTTGCATAGGATAGTTGTATGCGTTTACTGTGCGTATGAGAGCTGTTGTGTTTGTTAAATTGAATTTCCCGTCTATTTCAGTGGGATAACCACCGCTTACTAGGCTAAAGGTATATTCAGCGGACGAGTTCATCATTTCGTATCCTGTTCAGATGTAGTTTTTCGTTTACATATTATGATTGTTCCTTTGGTTTCAGAGTGAAATATAGGGTTTCAACAATACGTCTCCACTTTGTTCTTTTTTCTGCGGTCGTCTTTAGCTGGCCCCGCGGTTACCCATAATCTCTCATCTCCTTCTCATGCGATCTCCATGTCACCCTCGGACCAGTGGACAACTCATCTTTTCTGACTCGGGGACTAGCCAGTCGCACAAAATCATTTGAGTGAAGGCAGCTGGCGTAGACTTGATATCCGGTTATCCACCAAAAACCGTGTGTACTGCTCACCAGTTTGCTCTGTTCTCCTCTATGGCTGTGAGACCTGGCCATTGAGAGTGGAAGACATGAAAATATTAGCTGTCTTTGATCATAGGTGCCTGCGTTCTATTTCCCGTGTGAATTGGTATAACAAGGTGAGCAATATTGAGGTTAAGCGTCGTGTGCTAGGTAAGGAGAGAAAATCAATAGATGAGGCTGTAAAGTTACACCTACTGAGATGGTTAGAATAGGTGCTACGTATGCCTAACCATCGCCTTCGTCGACAACAGGCAATGTTAGCTGACATAGAGTCAGGTTGGAAAAGAGTTGGCTAGTGGTGGTCAAACTGAAACATGGCTTCATCAGTCAATGAAAACCACAACAGTTAGTTTAAGCCAGTAATGTAGGAAGATGTACACTTCCTGGTTTGGATCCTCAGGACGGTTAACACCAATGGCTGGAAACAGTGGTGATATGGCTGAAAGTGATCGTTCTCAATGCCAGGTTCAGATGCATCCACCTCTTGTGACTTATAATATCCAATAAAACCATATTGCTCTTCTATAATACCATTCTTTTAGCCTCATATCTATGTTTACTGTCTCTATTTTGTATTGCTTTTTTTACTTTCATCTCTGACTTTGTGAAGTGTGGTGACTCAAACTACTGTGCATCAATATAAAGTTCTATGTTGAAACCAGACAGACAGAAGGCAGCTGTCGATGAAAGTCTGGAGCCTGTTCGAAATGCTTTGGATGACACCCTAAGTCTCTGAACCAATATATACAACCACTGAGTGACTTAACATTGGTGTTGAAAATCCGAATTTATTTTTAAATGCTGAGTTCATAAGACTTGCTAACTGATTTCACGGTGATGAAGGTCTATCTTGTCTGTCCGATTCTGGCCTGATTTCACATCCTCATCCGCGCCGACTGCCTGTCGTTGCAACGATGCTGCCTAGCTAGATTAGTGAAGGTAGTGACCTCTTTTAAGTTTATTTGGTATTTGGTGTTGCTGGTTAGTTATTTGTATCACATCCGTCCTGTCTGTGTTTACTTGAAGTCCTGTCTTCGCTGTTAGCCCCCCCTCCTACCAGTTTGTTGGTTTTTCCTTGTTGGTCTTCAAGTTTGTGTGACATTTTAATCTATATCTTCTAAACTCTTCTTATCGGTCCAACGTATTTCTGTCTTCCGTATAATCCAGTCTAATACTATTAAGGATATCATAGGTGATAGTTGGCAACTAAGCTTGTCTTACTCCCATATTCAGCTAAAGGCTTTTTCGGTGAGTTTTCCGCTGTGGATCACCTGACATATGCTATTGTTACACAGCTAGTGAATAAGGTTGACAAAGATTCATTTTAATGAAAATTGGGAATATGAAACATTAAGTAATCACATTCCACGCTTACACACCTATCCACACATGCACACACACTGACTGAACGAGTAGTCTGGTTAGACTCAAACAGTATTACATGCTTTACATGTTTATTCATAGTCAATTTAATTTGGTTTTTTAAGTGTCTCTGAAGACCTTGACAAATTTACCACTCAAAAGTTCATTTTAAAGAATAAATCAAAGCATCTACTTTCAAAGCTACAAGTGATTTATAGCTGTTCCAAATAACGACAAGTAAGCCATTGACAATTTTAAAGCTGGCGAATATTAAGACATATGAACTCTCTCCGTTACTAGGCTAGCTCGTAGACCAGTGAGCCTTTGGGAACCGACCTAGTTGATCAATATATATATATATATCACGAATTGGCAGAAGTTGGAGTTCATGGACCGTTAAATAGGTTCCCAGTGGCTTAATTGTCTACGAACTCGTCTTGTAACGGGAGGCTCCTGGTCTTGAACCCTGGTATTGGTTGTGTGCTGATGGAGAGCCGCAAATTAGGCCAACAAAACAGCTGTCCATTACTCCAGTGTCGGTTTTCCGATGGTTCTCTAACTTACTGGTGTCACCTTGTGATCTGTTCTGTCACTTATCAAATCCCTGAAAATCAATACTTGATATATGAATTCCTATGGGAGTTACGAAGTACTTATTGGTAACGCTTTAACAGTAAAAGGCCAGATAACCTGCCCAGCTTAGATCAGTAGTCATCAACTACATTGTTCTACTGTGATGACTTGAACCATCCGCTTTGTAGTTTTCTTTTTTAGGTGCAGCCTACCCCTCCTCACGTATACTGTCTTATGGTTGGTAACGGGAACTATTCGTCAAGTGGCTTTTTTAACCCTTTCAATTCAGTCATATTCGTGCTCACTTAATGATTCCAACTTACCGTAGAAATGGATGTATTGTCAAAAATACGTACGCATCCTTGGCGTATTATTATCATTATTATTATTATTATATGATTTTATTCTCTCCTGTATTACTTACTATATTACGATTACTTTCTTCTGTTTAACCAACCTGTTTTAACTTCCTGTTTTCTTTCCATATATATATATACATATAGTTATGAACCTGAGTTATCTCCTGGTCTCACCTTTAAAACTGATCCTAATTCAAGTACATCTCTTAAACTTTTTTCCACAGGACGCATTGTTATTATGGGTAAGTGTGTAGTGTGTTCATAAAACCCTTTTTGTTCATAGTTTGGGTCAATAAGGATATTTTATTATTATTATTATTATCATTATTATTATTAGTATCACAAAGGATTATAATTTTGTTTATTTTTTGGTTAACATATATTGCCTTTTATTGGTGTAATTAATTAACCCTTGTTATAACTGCCTACATGACAATTATCGGTCCAAGCTGGACATACATCATTAGAGGCTGAGGTTGGGGAGGGGGGGGCTATAACTATTGAATATTATGGGAAAGAGCGCATCCCTACAGCTATGATTCCATACTTGTCTGTAGTAGATTCTCCACCTCTGAATCAGGAGCTCCGAGCCCATTCGACTAGTCATATTTTAGACAACCATGTAGAGTATCACCAATGTTCTCGTAATATTTGAATGAAGCAATAATAAAGCGAAAACCGACAAACTGGTCGAAGAAGCAGTCGGCGAAGACAGCGCTCCAAGTGAACATGGACAAGACGGAGGTGATGAAAATAACCAACCAACAACAACACAAAAATCCATCGCCAATCACCGTCAACGGGAGGGATTTCCAAGAGGTTACTTCATTCACTCACTTATCTAGGGAGCATTGTCTCAACTACAGGAAGTCGGAACGGACGAGGATGTCAAATCGAGCGAGAATCGGGAAGGCCAGCGAGAAACACATTCACTCATCAACCTGAAACCAATCTGGAAATCTTCTTCTGTCAGTCAGCATCAACAACAAAATTCGGTCGGATTTTCAATACAAACGTCAAGTCGGTCATTTCTTCTATACGGATCAGAAACTTGGCGGGCGGGTCACAAAGAATATTTCCAACAGCCTGTTGCAGACCTTCATCAACCAATAACTGTCTTCGCTGGCTCTATACTGAAGACCATATGGCCGGGCCGGAAAGAATCACCAACAAGAAACTATGGGAACAAACAAAGCAAGAACCAATCGCCTAACAAATATGCAGGAGAAAGTGGAGATGGATTGAACACTCGCTGAGGAGGCCGGTTGGTGACATCGCGCGCGCGTCAGGCCATTGCTCGAATGGGACGTCCAAAGGTGACATGGAGGAGATCGTGTGAAGAGGAGTTGAAAGAGTATGGACTAACATGGATGCAGGTGAAAAGTACAGTTGAAGACAGAAGTGGCAAGTGAAGACGTGCAGTTGAAGCCTATGTTCCACTAGGAACCCAAGGGAACAATAATAATAATACTGTGTGACACGAGTTCGATTCGCAGAAGGGACATGAGTTCCTTCAAGGTTGCAAAAACGCCTTGATGACTGGTGAGTGCCAACTAGCACGAAACCTTGGGCGGTGTCCAAGTTTTCCTGCCGATTGCCTCTTACCATCTAATATCAACAGTTCACAGTGGGAACAATAATAATAATAACAGTGGCTTGTGCAGAATAAGACGGTACCATCATCTATTTCTTTAGCGTTCCATTATCTGCTTACAGACTAAAGAAATTACTAAGTTTATGTGTGGAACAATTTTAACATACTTACTCCAGAGAGTTCAAGTGTAAACAGAAAATCATTGTATGCATACAATGGTCAAGAAGTTACGTAGTAAAGACAATGACAAGACGTTAAAGTCAAAGATTATGTAATCAAATGAAAGAGGTAACCAGGCCAAGGAAAGACCAGTAACTACTTATTTCTAACACAAGTCGAGTTTCAAGCCTTTGATAGAGATTGCTTCAGACCACTTGAGGAGAATTGAACTACTTTATCTATTGGTAATTGTAAAGGATTTCGCGATACCCCCACTGCATGACCTGTATCCATGAGATGTAAGTGTTTGTTCCCTTTGGTACATGTTTAGACAATCGGAGGTGTGCCGTTCTTTTTGTTCTCCCAGTGTAATTGCTCCCCCACAGATACATGTAAATTTGCATCCACAGTTAGAGTTAACATGAGAAGAGTATGTATCGAACATTGATTGCACCCAAAAACATGTTGCCCGATAAACGAGCGAACCAAGTTAGCTGCAGGATAGGTTCTGGCTAGTGAGGTTTTCAACCTCCTGTTGACTATTCCGGCAATGTCATCACGTATAAAGTCGGGTTGAGTGAAGGTAGGCTTTTTTCTCACTGTGATTTTTTTGGCATTAAAGCCTTCATATCTTCCGTACTTGTTAATGAATTTCTCAGGGTAACCGTTGTTTTTCAATATCTCTTCGAGAATCAGAATTTCTTACTCTAATTTATCTGTAGATCATATTTTCCTGACTCCTTGTGACAGAGTTTTGACCAGTGCTCTTTTACAGCTATTTGTATGAAAACCAGTAAAATGTTAGTATTGTTCATTTCATACCGGCTTTCGGTTAATTACTCTCTGGAGACTACCATCTTCCAGGTGTTGTATGACAGTGTCAAGGAAATGATACTTTCCATCATTTTTAAGTTCCATAGTACAATCAATATTTATATGTGCGTCGTTGACTGATCCAAGTAGGTGGGTAGGAAGCATCAATTTCATTGTTGCACACCACAAATGTCGTACCTACATATCGACAATAAGTAGTTGTTTCGTTGATTGGCATACTTCAGCTTCGTTCTCTCAAGGTTGCACGTGAAGTTGTCTACTAAAACAGGGCTAAGTGGACTGCCCATGGGCTACATCATATGTTTGGCGGTAAATTGTTGTCAATAGGTTTGCCTAATTACCAGCTATATGGAGAAGCACAAGTGGTCGTTGACTAGAACATGAAATGGCCGTGTCACAGTATTATTCTGTATTCCACAGCTTGTTCGGTTTTCAATCTCTCTTCATTAAGTTTTTTTTGATGTTTCGATGTTGTTTACAGGTTCAAGTTTGGATGCAATTGGTTCACTGGTCGAAGAATTAGTCCCCGTAGCTGCATTGCATCAAACTGATGAACCTATACTAGATGCTGAAGATATTCCTGACAATGATGAAACTCGAGCAGCTTTAAAAGCAGCTCGTTATATGAATATGATTCCAGACGATGGATTCGGTGGTTTAGCCTATCATGTTGATGAAGAATATGCGAATAGCGATGAAAGTGATGGTTATGAGTATGGTGTACGCAATGGCTTTTCAACAGATGATTCCACTGATAGTGGAGCTTCTATTGACAGTGGAGGTGTCAGTACTAAACCGAAGCGTTATGTTAAGCGTAGAACGCGTCTATACGACTCCGCTTCATCCTATTCTAAACTACGCGGTTATAATTCAATGCAGTCTGGACCTCCGCTTCATTTAATGACTCCCAGAGAAGCTGCTAGTTTAGCTTTCTCTAAACGTATTGCTGGTGATGTTGAAGGAGCTCGTGATTTAGTGGCTGCAGCTGGTGAATTAAGACGTCATCATGAATTACTACAGAGTTCAGGTCGAAATATCATATCAAACAATGTCCAAAAAGAAGGTTGTTCAAATTTCCCTCAGAATGATCCTACATGGTGTCGAAAAGCAGTAGCATCGGGCTCCACAAAGCGTGCATGCGTTGTCACGTATTCTGGAACAGAGGATAGTGAAGCCCAAGATACTGGTAGTAATCCTGAATTGCATAATCAAGTTTTTCCTCAGCCTACTGTTTCTTTACTTGAACAACAACAACATCAACAGTTATTACAGCAGACACAATTCCCTCAACAACAACAACAGGTTAGGTTTATCCATACACCACCCTCTGCGATTTCATCATTCAATCCACCAAACACTGTCCCAATGTCTACTGTAATTACACCAATGAATACAGTTTCCAATTCTCTTCAATATGTTTATATTAAACCATCTACAAGTCTTGGACAAACTGTTTATAATAATGTACTTCCTACTGCTCAACCAACTATGCACTTTTCTACTACACCACAGTCGATAACACCGATGCAAACTAATTCCTTAATGCGTCTGTCTATGCCTACATCAGTTGGTATAATGAATGGACAAAATCTTCAAACAACTGTAACGTCGTCATCGCCATCGTTGGCGTCGTTGTCATCATCGCCAGCAGCAGCGACTAATGTTTATCCAGTCCGTTTATCCCAAAATACTCCAACTAATATTATCTCACAAAATGATGGAAAGGTTAGTCTTAAATATATGAGATGTTTAACTAATAATAATGCTGTTATAATCAAATTACAATGAGACTAGAGATAATCACACTTCTCCCTCCCTTTATATATATATATATATATATATATATATATATATATATATATATATATATATATATATATGGGTTTCCTGTCTGTATATTCGCTTCTTCATGCATGTGAACTCGAATTTTTACGTTGAAGTATCGTACGGTCTTCTTGTAGTTGTCTTCCGCGCGTTGATGAATATATATTATACACGTGAACTCGAATGACTACATGAAGAAATTGTAAATCTGCATTCGTATATATCTGGGTGTGTGTTTGTGTGTACCTATCTAACAACCTAACCAACTTGTCGACATTTGATTTCTTACAGCTCTAAGTATACGTGGGTGTGTATGTGTATCTCCGCCATTTCCTGCCATATTTCCTTCTCTTCATTGATAATATTAAGGATGTGTGCATATATATAAGGATCTCAAGATTGCATTAATCCCATCTCTTATTTTAATCACTATCATTCAAATAAAAAAATACATAAAAGTGAATTGTGTGTCTCCATGGTTTTAATCCTGCTTATATACATATATGCATATATCTGTACTCTCCTGTACTGTACTTGACTGTACTGTTTTTACTTTCCTCTTGTGAATAATTTCTTCATTTTTATATATATTATATTGCCTAGTCTATTTCAACAGATCATAAGATATATTTATATACATACATACATACATAAATTCTCCCATGATTCTTCTTTTTTATCGCTTGCGTTTTATACTTTAAATATACACAAAGAGGCGCGCAACACAATGACTGTGGAGTTTTTGCTCGCTTTTCTTGAAGCATGTACACACACAAATATTGATACATATATACAATTGTGCGCCTGTTGTTTTCAACGAGCCGAGAGGGAAAACTCTTTATGCGTTATTGCGTTGTCATGTGGGATGATGATGATTGATGAATGCTAGGTGCTAAAACTGTGTAACGAATCGTGTATGGCATATTAAAAGTATAAAAAGAATTAGCATATTGGTTACACAGGGTTGGTTGTGAGTTGACAGTGGTTAGAGAAGCATTGGAAGGAAAACCAGCACTGTGGAGTATACTTAGTTATGTGTATATTTTTTGGGCAGTCCAGTTTGGAACTTCCTCATCAGTGCTCACTCACTCACTCACTGTGCCAGGGTTCAACCTGAAGACTTTCCGGTTACAGGGTCGAATCCGTGTAAATCAACGCCTGATAATTATAGAATATTCTTACAGGTTGGGAATACATATATATCTTTTCGAGCATCCGTCGTCATCTATCTTTTGTGGGTGTGTGTACTTTAGAAAGACGACTCGTGTGAATCATTAGTTTTCCTGCTTAGCATGTGGAATAAAATTCCGATTGATCTAATGAAGTAAACCACACCTGTTTTGTGTGATTGTTTCATCCAGCTTGCATGTTACTTTGGGGTTAAATGGCGACGTCTGTGTGTGTGTACTAATTCATTAGCAAAAAGAAACTAACTATTCTGGTATATACACACATGTCGCATGTATATGTGTGCCAAGTGTTGTGTCAGACAGTGTTATGTAACAGTTTTATTCCACACAGTGTATATAGTCATTCTGCATATATTTTGCCGGATGTTTTCTGTGTTCATGCTTTGTCACGGCTGTAAGCGTGTTTTTATGTAACTGTATATGCATACTACACAATAGTTTTTGTCTGGTTACGACGTGTAAGTGGATTATTATATTTCCATTGCCTATAACACTCTGTTTGGAACATAAGGTCTCATTGGGGTATACTGTCATTCCACTGATTCGGTTCTTCTTTGTTGTTAACACTTTCATCAGTTGGCTGGCTCAACGACTACCACCCACTACGTCTCTATGTCACCCTCGAACTACTAACTTGTCGAGTAGTTTTTTTTTCGGAGGATGGGGATGGGGTTCCTGTGAAGGGTCTAGGGGTGTAATTTCATTTAAATATCTCCTCGGTGTTATGTACTATTCTCTATATTTGTTGGAACTAATAACGACAAGTGTTGATGGAAGTCTTCAGCAGCCTGTTTTAAATGCATTGACTTGACACTGGTTTCCTGTTTTGAGTGCCTTAGATCTCTATGGCTAGTGACAGACAGAGAGACAAATTGGCTCAACATCAGTGTGTGAATTCGAAACGTCCGACTGTTGTATAATTAAGAAATTGTGTTGTACATTAGTAAGTCATAAAAGAATATACCCACTTGTATAAAGGTTTGTAATTTGAAGAAATAGGATATGTGTGATATTATCGTAAGATGTGATTTATCGAATTGAAGTTAAAACGCAATCAAGACTCTAGGATCGCGGTGTGAACCTCTGAATATGATATAATTTATTCAAGTAAAATCGTCGGCAATACGTCATTCAATGTTTTTTTATCGCTTTCTCTGAAGCACATTACAGCCTTTCACACAATGTTTTATCTTTCATTTGCTTGGAAAAAGGGGAATAGTGGTTTTGCAATAAATAAACAACTGAGAAATCATGTGTTGAGTTGTGGGATACAACGTAAGATGATGGCAATAAAACAAAATTTCATACCATGACGATGCATTAAACCGGTCATCCCTCTCTGTGGTTACGGTTTTCGCCTTATTTTCCCAGTGTTTTAAAATATTCCGTATCCTTCTACTGAAGAACCATCTAATTCTGCTTATATAACCAGTAGTAGTAGCGTATGTATTAATGTCTAAATCGCTTAGACTAAGCCGAATGGGAGAGAGAGATAGAGAGAAACTTCGTGTGCGTTGTTCAACCGCTTCAATAATGACAATTACAATAACGAATCTGTATTGTGTTAGCCATATGCTCAATTCAATTGGTGCGGCGTCTGGGGACTTGGAATCCCTCATTTCATCACCTAACGATTCACCCCCAGACTAGCTAACAAAATAATGCGTAGTCAAATTGCAGAGTTTGTTAGAGGAACGCGGTATCCATTTTATCGTTCTAACCGTTTTATCAATTAGACAGATTTTGCTTTTCAATATTGCGTTGTATTTAATGCGTTGAAATGAGTTTTTTTTTTGCAACACAGGACTTGAAAAATCCCATTTAAAAAAGAATATATTGTATGTTGTTGTTGATGATGATGATGATATGAATATGTCATCTGTTTGCGTTCAGCGTAGTTTATTGCATGCTATTTTCTCTTAATCCAGGAGTTTCAAGTAAAACAGCCATCTCTCCAGTACATCATGTGACGTAGAGTGATGTTAGATTTGAAGAATAAAATAAAATCCTTTCTGGTAATTTTTCTTTGGTCTCCCAGAATTAAGCGACAGTAGGTTGCAAATCAATTTTTAAAAAAGGTGTATGAGTACATTTGGTGACAACTAGAACTGAAGAAAATAAGATGCATTGGTTCGGATGAAAATTTAGGTAACCTATCGATTCCAACAGGCCGCCATTTGTTGCATTCCGATTGGAACTTTTGGCAACAAGCTTACTATAGGGTACTACATGAGCTGCAGAATCTAAATTGAATCGAATGAGGCGTATGAACCACCTGTATTGGTCAGTGGCAAACAGGGCATCGTGGCTTGTGACGCCGCCGCTCTGTTGCTTCGGGGATGAGACTCCAAGTCAAAGACTCGGTGGGGGGATGATGGTCCTCTCAAGACAACCACCTGCTTCGGTATGGGTGCCCTCAAACTAGTCGACTTTGACACATTTTCTTGGTTCCCTGTATATTATTGTACCAGGTTTTGTGTTTTAAATAAAATAATATGCTTTGAAGTTTCATTAGCAATTTTGTTGTTGTCACGGGTTGTGGGTGCTAATTTTGCGCTGTTTACCTGCTGGGCGAGTTCCGAAAATGTCTGCGTCGACAAGCGGCCGAAGCTGTGGTTGATGAATATTCAGCCATTGGAACCATTGGTGCAATGCTGATACTATTAGATAATAATAATAATATCTCCTTTTGCTTCGAACTAAATCTTCTTTGAATAATATTTCGATACTTTCGAACTTATTCTTCGGAATTCCTTGGTAATGTCAGCTTTTAGAAAGTTCTGTTGTGATCTCAATTCGTTACTGGTGTGTATGCTGCGACCACCCGCCTTTATTTTCGCCTTCACTATCTGTTTCATCAAAGGTCTTTTTTTCTATAAAACGATTTAATTCTGTTCACAAAGTGTTTTTTCCCTCAATTTTCCCTTTTCTCAATTTATTTTTTTAAATTTAATTTCTTTCATACTTTTACCCTTGCTTAGATGATAACTTTTACTACTGGTGTCGCCGCCAGTAACAATCCAAATCAATTGATAGGCTTCACAAATACACAAATACCTTCACAAATTTATTCCAATATCTATCATCAATTTGGTTCAAATTCAATAGTATCTGGTCAGACTACACCATTTATCTTAGGATCTTCTGTTTTCACAACAGCTACCACTTCATTTCATCCTCAATTGTCGATATCATCATCACCATCATCATCAAATATCTTGGTTGGATCTCCTATACAACCATACCAGCACCACCATCAACAACAACAACAGACAATAGGAACTGTTAATCCACTCACCGCATATACGCCAACTTATGTTTATCAATATCCTGGTGGATTTATATAGGCGGAAATTTGCACAAAGTCAGGCGGGTGTTGTTGTTGTCGGTTTTAAAGTTAACAACCAGCTTATCTTTTACAACTCCCACTTGTAAATAGGTTCTTTGTATGTGGGTGTGTGTATATATATAGGCGCCAACACACACACACACGCGCACACACATACAGTGGTGTCTCCCCTCTGATTTTAAACAAAACAAACAAAACTTGATTGTCATCTTTTTTGAGTGTGTGTTAACCCCCCCCCCAGCCCCACCCTATTAGTAGTGGTATTCCTTTTTGTCCTAAGTCTATATTAATTTTGATTTCATATCAGAACTTCCTCACGTGTAATTTGTTGCATTCAATAATTTCGTAAAAGCATTTGGATGAATCAACGCCGACGTTTTCCACGAAAAAAAAATTAATCTTTCACATTGTACACACACACACTGTCTCTACAACAGCTGTACTGTTCTCATCCTTACTACTTTCCACTACTACAACTACTACTACTGGTCTGTAAGTAGTATCGATAGTTTTTTGTAATATTCATTGGTAATCCATAGATGACGATGTATATATTGTATGCATCGGTTTTATCTAAGCTTGCATTTACTTTTAATATTACTATTATTATTATTATTATTATCAATAATATTATTATTATTTTAATTTTCACTTAATTTATATAATGAAATTAGGATATCTAGGAGTTGTCATATACTTCTACTTTCTCTTTATCACAAACAGTTTATCTCCTACAACACACTAACACACGTACACGTTTTCTTTACAGCAATTAGCGAGTGTGGCGACTTGAACTTCCGCACATTTGTGTATAGTTCTATGTCGAAAAACAGACAGACAGCAATTAGCAGAGTGCTTAAATTCTTGCTGTGGTTGCGTGGAGTAAGGGGGGAGTACTTGTGTACTTTTCTATTTGATCTATTTCTCTCTCCTCCTCTCTCTCTCTCTCTCGCTTTCTTTCGAACGGACACCCAAATGCAGCTGAGGTTTACGTTCCTTATTCTTTTCCTTCTTGTTCAATTGGTTCCCTGCGTTAGTTAATTTTTTTGTTTGTTTCCTTTAGTTTTCTTTCTTGGGTGATGTTTTCAAGTTCATATACATATATCTACACATATATTGTTTTTTGTGAATAAAGATAAAGTTCTTTTGTGGAGTTTATGTTGGTCAAATTGTTGATTAATTTCATTCTTTCTTTTACGATTTCTTTACGAAGTAATAGTTAGATGTCTGTATGTTTCGGCATGTGTGCATCTGAATGGGTCCAGATTTTACTTTTCAGTAGTATATTCTTGCGTCTGGTGTAATCAAACTAGTTGATTTATCAACAACTACAACAAAAGAGCTCTTGGAACACGTCTACTGCAGTGAATTCTGATGACTGACCGTTTCAACATATAGTACTTTGTACAGATAGATGTGCAGCAGTTCCAGTTGTCACTCTCCTTTCATGTTGAACACAAAGCAAGAGTAGAGAGTAAACACAGAGAGATTTAAAAACAAAAGTGTGAGGGGAAAAGAATACTCATATGGAAGGACAATGGTGTCTCATTGGATGTAACTGACAAATCACAAAGGAGTGAATTTATCTGTACTATCTTTGAAAAGGAGGATTTTCAACCACGTAATCAGTTGTCTCCAGTTTTCGTTGGTTCTTACCATCCCGACGACTCAAGCCAGCGAGCCAGTCTACACCTCCCTTAAACTAACTGTTGTGGATTTATTTCATTGCCTGATGAAGCCATGTTTTGGTTTGATTACCACGTGCTTACTCTTTTCCAACCTGATCCATCCTGTGTCAGTCAGCTAACATTGACCGGCTGCCTCAGATTCATGTCTGTACAATCAGTAGATTCTTCACAACTGAAGCAGCCTAGAGTTTAAATGTGGCGATATTGTGTTAACCAGTCTACTAGACACTGTTAGCTTTTATTGAATGTAATGGAAAGAACACATTCCGGTTCCATAACTACCGCTGTATCAGCAGAATCCTAGAGTATTTAGTTGCGAATTTATTTCTTGGCTACTTGATATGCAGATATGGCGAAAAAAATATATATGTATATGCCTGTCTTTATATTAAAATCCCTTTTCGCACATGTCCTGCGCATTGTGCTTCTTCTATCTTCCTTTCATTTTTTCTATGTTCTTTCATCGAGGATCGTCCATTTTTCCATTTCGCCACTGAATTCATCCCTGCACTATTCAATATTCTTGCAGATGATATATATATATATATAGTACTCGCAAATCTTGTAAGTAGCACACGCCGCACTACAATCTCCTAAATCAGGTGAAGTAATGATATAAGGCTGTAAATAAGCACAGATTTATTAGGCCAAGAGGTAAAAGAGATGTGTCTATATACTGCTGATAATTCTTGTCAATAGCACATGCCACACTACCGTTCTCGTCTATTTGTTATGAGATCCTTCTTGGCGTTTTTATGAACACCTTTTCGTGTTTCTTCTTTATTAACAATTCCATTGCCACTCAAGTGATTATTACTTATACAAAGACTTCGTTTTTTAAATAATCTATGTATAATTAGCACCAATTACAGAGAATATAATTTTGCGCTAACCTTAACACAACAAGGAATGACTTTTAAGGTAGAGTAACTGGACAATAAGACTAAAGAAAGAAAGTTGACACAAACTCTGGTTGATAACAATTATCCAGACAAGTTCATCAGAAAATATAAAGTATTCAGAACACCAAGACCCACTCTACAACTCGCGCCTAAAAAAGATGTGTACATCAAGCTACCCTGTAAGAGGCATCATAGCAGCTTGATAACTAGACAAAGATTGAACGCTGCTGTTTTAAAGGCTTTTTATGCAGCTGATATCATGATGATTGAGAATGTGAAGCCAATATATCCGTCGAATTCCTTTGAATATGCGTAGAATGATGTCACATCCCACTGTATTTACCAATTTGAATGTACGTATGGACAGACATACATAGAAGGGAGGACTCATCGATCTCTGCATGAAAGGGCCTTACAGCATATTCCAAAATGGCTCCAGAAACAAATAGAATCTTCGAACCTATTAATGGTGAGAGCAGGGGACCTAGCTCCTCTACTGCGAAACATATTATAGAGACAGGACATAAAATGACGTTAACACATCTTTTAAACCTATCTATAAAACGTGTTTGGGGCGTGTCCTAAAGTTTGTGGAAGCCCATAACTGGCAACTATGAAGTTTAAACCATCTTTGTGGAAACAAAGCAACGGTTCATCATCACACTGAACCTTCCTTGGTAAACTTTGCTTTGATACATACCAGGGTAGATGTACTACTACCTCTGTTATTTAGTTTAGTGATCTTCATTGTTATTTTAACCTTCAATCTATCCTTTTAACTTGACCTAAGTAGTTTATTTTCCACCTCTTAACTCTTTATTAATTTCATATATATGTACTCCTATGACAAGTCCGTGTGTGATCAGATTGTCGAAGTGTGTTGCGCAAATTCACTACACGATTCAGACAAATCACGTCTTCTTATTACTTTGTCTAAATAAGGCTAAAGGGATTTCTTGAAAAAGTGAATGTTTGAGGAAATAGCATTTAGTCAAAGACTGGATGGAGTGCCCTAACGGATTTACGTTTTTGGAAGACAAGTATACAATTTACGAAGTCTTAGAAATCCAGTGTGTTAGTATGACTTATACTGTATCTATTATTGCTTGTTGCTACATAACTTCAAATAGATTACTCGAGAATGAATTCGGCTCTTTCTGAAGTTCAACTAACCAAGGACGAATCCAGTACTTATGATTGTTACAGGACACATTTACGTAAGGGGTATGTAATCACAGCATAATGTTGAATTCTTCAAACGTGAGATGTCTCGTATAATCTCCATCAGTAAGGATAAAAAGTCGATCTGTTAAGGTGAAATAGCTGAATGATCGAATTTCGCTCGCAGATGTGGCAACCAGAAGCAGATACAGTGACAAATCGCAGTTCGGAACTCATCGCTTTTATGAGACACACGATTTTGTCTTGTGATGCCAAACCGCTTCGCTTTACACAGTTTTACTGGTGTACTAGATGGGTTGCGGGCAGGGATGGAGAGTTCACATATCCATCAATTTTTCCGAAATGTGTGGATTGTCACGAGCTACTGTTGCCGACTTTGTTTTTTCGGTCCAGAAAAACAGATATTCATTACGATCTAACTGCATTGTTGGTTTCAGTCAGTCATTTTTTATTCGCTTCGTTCTAGGCTGTATGCATACAGAATAGGGTGTAACGATAGACTTTTATAGGGTAGTCTTTGAAATATTACTCAGAGATTATACACAAATAGTGCTCTCGTTGGTGGACGAATAAAGATTATCACTAAAGAACAAAGAAAGAACAACAAAAGTGAAGTTAGGCATTGTGGTACGAGGAATATAATCAGGTAAATGTGTAATAAATTTCAGCTTTGAGATGGAAGTCCCAGAAACCAGCTAGTTACGCTACTTGAACTACTTCGAGCTTCCTCTGATCGGCTGCAAGAGGGTAACACTCACGATTATTATGTGTTCATCTATACCGTCTTACCTGAGCTTTGCCCACACGGCCTACTGGCTCTTTAGACAGGTCCACCTCAGATGGTAGCTAGGCTGTGTGGAGAAACAACCAATATGTCTTTTCAATATGTATTTACTGCCGATGTTTTGAAGATAGTTGAGAGATATACAATCGTATCATAGCACACAGCGGCGCAATTCTTCTTTGAAAACCCAACCATCGGCAATCTGATCCAGTGAATACAGAGACTATCGAAAGCTCAGTTATTGAGATTCAGTGTGTTAGTCTGACTTTTATTGTACATACTAAGTTTACTGCTATATAACTTCTAAAATATCACTAAAGAATGAATTCAGTTATTCTTTGTACTCTCTGTCTATTTGATTTCGGCTCTTCCTTTTCCTCCTTGATTTTCGATTTAATGTCAGTGAACTGCAAAAATTTTAGTCGAGTTTCAGTCATGTATTTTGATGTTTCTGTGCTTGTGGTTCTTCTGTTCAGTCTTCTATAGGTTTATACCCTCGGTGATTAAATTACTCATTTTCAACAGGTTAGTTAGGTATGGGTTTATCTGACATCTTTAATTTTTTTCGTGCCTAGATTCCATTACCTGGAAATTCAGTAATGATTTATTATTATTAATTCAAGACATTGGTTCAATCAAATGTTAGACCGTTTATATCTCTGTTCAATGATTGAATTCCGCCTCGGATTATGTGTATAAGTCTTAATAATTCACAATATCTAACATTCTGAATGTTTTTATAAGTATCTCTTGACCATTTGATGGTCTTAATTGAAGTCTATGTATTCTTGACCTTTGTACTTCAGTATTTATTCCGCCCTATATAAGTCTTTCGTGTGTACATTCTTCTAAATAAGCGGCAAAGTGTGTGTGTGCGTCGTATCGTTTGGTAATATACTGTGAATAATATCTATGAACTTCCACATTTTAAAGTTCCATACCTTCGAAGTGTCTTCAAGTTTCTTTTTTCATTCCTTTACTTTCTGTGAGGAACGTAAACCTTCAATTTCGAGTTTTGAAGTGTCAGTAGCCGTAGTATCTTGACGGAGTACGCTTGTTAGTCTCACGCCTAGATTTCTCTCTTTTTTCGGGTTAATATCGGCTAAACGAGGTATAGGAGGTCGTCGGCCGGGTATCAAACCTGGGTAGTGTGGTTGGCGACCATTCTATCGTTGCACCACTGACACGCGTTCGACGGAGGCGTGGCCTGCAGTTGTTCGGGCGTGAAAGCGTCAGGCCTCACCCAAGATTGGGTTTTGATCAGTGAAGATGGTAGGTTGGCATTAACAGCGAAGGAAGAAGTCACTCGCCTGGTCGATCAGCCTCGTGGGAACACGAAAGCCGTGGTTGGTTTCTGCCTGCGATCCGGAAACCTAGCCCTCCTAATATTAGCTAATTAGCAATGTCCTTCGTCTGAGGAGTGTATGACCGTTTCCTAACATAGGAAAGCATTTGAACTATGCTATCGATTTCAGGCGTAGACTGAGTAACATGAGCCTTGGCGAGCTGGATGGTGTCTGCTGGGTCACTGTTATTGTGCTAGTACGGTACTTAACTTCGGGATGAACACTTATCATGTGCGACCCTTGGTTGGGGTGAAGGACTGCCTTTAGCGGATATTGTTTAGTTATTTTCATTGCTCTTGTAGGCTTGTCTTACCACCTAGGATAATAGTCGTATGCTTCTAAGCGAGGTGTCGGGTGAATTTGTTGAGACTATCCCTGAGAAATAACATATCTTTGAAGTATGTAGACTATTATTCACCATATAAGTAAGCGTCTCAGCAATGGTTGATTGAGTCTGGACAGTGGTGGATGCGATACACCAATCACTAGGGGGCGTTATAAGGGTGTCTGGCATAAGGTAACCCGTTTTCACGGCAAGCGTATGACTTAACTGTCAGGATACTAACTCGAGAGTGGGCCCTCAGTCCTAGGGTGATTACCTGATACACCAACACTCGATCGAAGCCTACAGGAAAGTTTTCGTAAAATGAAATAGCCCAACTATGGATATGATATTTGTAAACACGTTTCCTTATGATATTGTGTTCCTAATCTGATTGATTAATAAGCAGAATATACTGTCCTTATTATTCTTTTGAATATTTCGCTGTACCACTTGTTTGGTTCACCAGCGTTGTACCACTGACTCAGGTTTTGAATCATAATGAACTGTTATTGAAAGTAAACATCTGCGTCGATGTAGTGTAGATATTTTGATTGTGTGATGGTAGTATTGCTTAGAATCTGAACCTGCGCAATGCTCATGTAATAAATAAGTGCGTTACTCATTCGAAGCCTATTTCACTATGTGATAATGTCTTAATGTTGATTGTATAGATATATGCTTAAACTGAGAGTTTGCTAGCATTGCAATATTATTACTCTTTCTGCGAACTGGTATTATCGAATTTATTGCTATATTGGTTTCACTTCATAGCTAAACATCTCATACACTACATCCTAAGCTTAGAAGCATCAGCTGACATTCAGATGTTAAGTGTTTCGTTGTCCATATCGGTAAGTGAAGAGAAATTTCCACTATGGAGCAATGAGATTTCATCCAGTGAAAAGTCATCTTCAGAAGATGACATGATCTTAAATAAACAATCGATAGTCAAACGCATCAAATAAAGATGATACAAATTATTTAAGACTGACACTCTAATTAATGTCAACTAAAATTTGCATTCTCACCAAGTTTATGTTCCTACAATGCTTTTTGTGTATAAATTACCACATTATTAGGTTGACAGACTGAGTAGAATCTTGCGCCTTAATATCAAACGATAATGTGACCCTGTGTTTGTGGAAAGAAACAGAACATTCCGTCTGTCCCATACTTTGTGGAGTTCTCTATAAGATTTCCTTGTTATTTTCAAGAAAATTTTAACCGTATGGTGTTTTTCGTTATTCCTGAAGCTAGAAACTTTGTTAAGATTTACAAATCTAAGAGAACAAGCAGCAATAGTCTTTCTTCACTTGCAGAAACAGGTCAATAACTTTACTCACGAAAGAAACAATTTGTCCATAAAGAGTTCTCTATATAATCAGTTTATTTGAGTGGGCTAAAATATGCGAACAGACAGACAAATAAAGTGGTGATGGTGTCGTAAGACTCCTAGAATGTCCAGTCTTTATTCTAATCTATGGTGAAGATATGTGGATAACTTATTTACTGTGCTGAAATCGAAATATATCCATAAGTTCTTTACACATTTAACTCAGTAGTAGTAGACAGAATTCTGCACACTTTGGAGCTAGAAAACTAACGGGATAAATTAGCTATGCTAGACTGTAAAATGAAGCGAAAATTACTTGGTGGATTACATACTCGCATTTGTGAAGATCTTCACATTCTAATGGGTGCTTAGGCTTTGATTCATCTCGCTGAGTATCGATAAAGGTAGATTTAATTTAGTTCTCAGTTGGTCGACCAAGAGTCCAGCTAGTAAGTTAGGAGTTTTAAGTAATGAAATCATATGGATGAAGAAAACATTACTAGTGAATGCCAAGAAGATTTTTATTCAAAAATGTATGGAGGCCCATAAGAAAAATAAAAGCAGAAAAAATCAGTATAAATAGTGAGAAATTTATAGTCTCAACAGTACTACCATATAACTGCGTAAAATCAGAAGTCCTATGTATGATGTTTTTTAGTAAGGTTTGAATTAGGGTGCCACTCAAACCAAATGACACACTCAGAAACAAACTTGTCTTGTGAAAAACTCAACGAATGCAGTTGGGTGAAATAACGTAATTTACCAAATACCATGTTATCACTCTGTGGTCAATCTTGTGTTAGGTTTTCGGAACATAGGAATAGTGTGGAGAAGAATGAATGTTTTAGATGAAGGGAAGGGTTAATTACCGAGTCTTTGTTCATCAAATTAATACTGGATATGTGCAACCGAAACGACACTTCGCCTCTATACCAGTGACATGGAAAATTACAATAAATAATAAGGGGAAGGGAAAAAGACATATTCAGCAATTTATGAATAAACTGACACAATATGAGCAATAACTGTGCTCAGTAGGTCAGTCGACCTAAAATTTGGTATGAATATGTGTTACATTGGAAAAATTCATCTATTATGGAATAATACTATATCACAGTGCTCAAACTTAATCTTATATTCCTCAGCAACTTCAAAAATGTACGTGAAATCCTATACCCATGATATTTGCGGTTTCACTGAGTTTATTGTGTATGTTCTACAGTAATCTTTAAATTCCACATATAGTGTTCCTTGAAATACACTGCATGGAAGGTAATAAGGTTAGTTTCCTCATACACACGTCACAATGAACAGTGCTTTTAAAAATGACTGTAAATTCTTTCGATCAAAGTACTACTTGAAAATATAGTAGTAATTTTCACTACGAAACAGTCAAACAACTTTAGAGTGTACATACTGTTATCTACTTCGAATGTGATATAAATCACAGTTCTTATTGCAAAGCTGTTATCAGTTTTAAGCTTTTACTTGAGTTATTTTTGAATAAAATCAGCATTTTTTAATGCCCTTCTATTCGTTTGGAAGATTTGAAGTTTTAACCTACACTTCCGCTAAAAACCACCCGCATAATCGTTATTTATGCACAAAAAGTATTATACTTCTCAGGAATCTTTATTTTGACAATGTTTTATTTCTTCGTTTTTCTGCTGGTTGCTAGTTTCGGTGTAATGGGCAACTTTTTGGCATGCTTCTTCTTAGAAAATCTATCTGTCTTGTCGTGTAAATTCTGCAGTATCAGCTCTGAATTTTATAGTTATTGTTAAAAGTCTGATTACCTGTTAAGTTTGGATAATGTTGCTCAATATTCTCGAGAAGTGGACGTATACTAACTTGTTGATCCGGTTTATCTTCTCACTGCTAAAATTCAATTTATTGGTTTACCTTCAATGGCTACAAGGATGTAAACAGCACCTCCTTCTAAGTTTTGAATGGATTGCTGGTATATTTGTGCATCAGTAAGGCCTAGCAATCTTCCCGATGTATCGCACAAATCGAATGTCACTTATAATGATAAGTGAAAAAAAATCACTGCATACTTTCAGGATCTATTTCGCACACACTGATGATATGATTAATTAATATTTCGAAAGAACACCACATATTAACCAACGCCTTCTTATTATCTTTGACAATTTTAGGACTTGAAACATTAGTTACCCCCAAACCTAATCCATATGAAAGGTCTGCTGCTTTCTATCATACTATGTAGTTTTCAGGGTAAAATCCTTTCTTAACCTCGTATATGGAAATCGCAGATATACAAACTTCTCCAACACAGAGAATCTGTTCTTACTCTTCAGATTATTTATACGTGTGGCTCTCAACACATTCCTAAGAGTTGCGAAATATTTAGTTGCATTTTTTTGAAAAAAAGCAGATATAAAGAATGTACATCTACAAATATAGCTGTAATATACTGTAAGCAATGAATAATGGGTAAAACTCCGTCACAGAGTACCACATTTCGAGGCAAAAAATATCAATACTACATGTGTCTTTGGTGAAAGAATTTTGTCTATTTTAAACGCGTAAAAGTGATCTGTCAGAAACAGATATCGTTGTCTCTCTTTGAAGAGATCATCCAAAGATTTATATAAGAGATACATGACAGTAGTAACATATGTGTGGTCCTACAGTGTTGAGGTAATACTTATTCACCTGAGGTACAACTAAACTACACTATATCTAGTTGTAGAATCAATTATTTGCTACTAAGATATTTCACTTATTAGAAAAGTGGTATGGAAATAAGGACGCGTCTAATAATCAGAATAATAATACCATGTATTTCACAGAGGAATTAATAGCCGATATCAGCATAAAAAAACTATACACCTTGTGTGACAAGAATTTCGAAAAGTTGTGGGCGTACAACCATAGCAGCATGGGATTAAACAAGTGTCCAATACCCAACATCTTTTTCACAAGCTAGTATGAACCGATTTGATTTCTTTTTGCTTGCCTCGTGATTTTGAAGTAAAATTTTGAGGTTTTCAATAAACTTTTAAGTAGTTCAGCCTGCCACTTGACTGTCGTAGCTTTGGTTGACTCCGGAAGGAGTGATTCTGGGATTAAACAAAATCCCTACAACAAACCAATACTTAAAAATTCATCTGGTGCTCACTAGTGACTGGCCCTATTCAGGCAGTTAACCTGGGGTTCTAGTGGGAAGCCGTGACCAGTAGGGTACAGCAGGTTGAAGATGAGGCAGTAACTCATCGAAGAAGACATTGCGAAGTGGTCGCGCTATGTCGTGAACTGGCAGAAGTTAGAATTCAAGGACCATTGGATCGGGTCCCAGTGGCTCAATGGTCTACGAGCTCGCCTTGTAACCAGAAGGTCCTGGGTTCGAATCCCGGTGGGTGCGTACTGCTGAGGAGTCCCAAACTAGGACGAAACAGCTGTCCAGTACTCCCAGGTTTTCCAGTGGTTCTCTAACTGATGTCAGCTCATGATCAAATCCTGCATGCAATCAAACAAAATCCCTACAACAAACCAATACTTAAAAATTCATCTGGTGCTCACTAGTGACTGGCCCTATTCAGGCAGTTAACCTGGGGTTCTAGTGGGAAGCCGTGACCAGTAGGGTACAGCAGGTTGAAGATGAGGCAGTAACTCATCGAAGAAGACATTGCGAAGTGGTCGCGCTATGTCGTGAACTGGCAGAAGTTAGAATTCAAGGACCATTGGATCGGGTCCCAGTGGCTCAATGGTCTACGAGCTCGCCTTGTAACCAGAAGGTCCTGGGTTCGAATCCCGGTGGGTGCGTACTGCTGAGGAGTCCCAAACTAGGACGAAACAGCTGTCCAGTACTCCCAGGTTTTCCAGTGGTTCTCTAACTGATGTCAGCTCATGATCAAATCCTGCATGCAATCAAACAAAATCCCTACAACAAACCAATACTTAAAAATTCATCTGGTGCTCACTAGTGACTGGCCCTATTCAGGCAGTTAACCTGGGGTTCTAGTGGGAAGCCGTGACCAGTAGGGTACAGCAGGTTGAAGATGAGGCAGTAACTCATCGAAGAAGACATTGCGAAGTGGTCGCGCTATGTCGTGAACTGGCAGAAGTTAGAATTCAAGGACCATTGGATCGGGTCCCAGTGGCTCAATGGTCTACGAGCTCGCCTTGTAACCAGAAGGTCCTGGGTTCGAATCCCGGTGGGTGCGTACTGCTGAGGAGTCCCAAACTAGGACGAAACAGCTGTCCAGTACTCCCAGGTTTTCCAGTGGTTCTCTAACTGATGTCAGCTCATGATCAAATCCTGCATGCAATCAAACAAAATCCCTACAACAAACCAATACTTAAAAATTCATCTGGTGCTCACTAGTGACTGGCCCTATTCAGGCAGTTAACCTGGGGTTCTAGTGGGAAGCCGTGACCAGTAGGGTACAGCAGGTTGAAGATGAGGCAGTAACTCATCGAAGAAGACATTGCGAAGTGGTCGCGCTATGTCGTGAACTGGCAGAAGTTAGAATTCAAGGACCATTGGATCGGGTCCCAGTGGCTCAATGGTCTACGAGCTCGCCTTGTAACCAGAAGGTCCTGGGTTCGAATCCCGGTGGGTGCGTACTGCTGAGGAGTCCCAAACTAGGACGAAACAGCTGTCCAGTACTCCCAGGTTTTCCAGTGGTTCTCTAACTGATGTCAGCTCATGATCAAATCCTGCATGCAATCAAACAAAATCCCTACAACAAACCAATACTTAAAAATTCATCTGGTGCTCACTAGTGACTGGCCCTATTCAGGCAGTTAACCTGGGGTTCTAGTGGGAAGCCGTGACCAGTAGGGTACAGCAGGTTGAAGATGAGGCAGTAACTCATCGAAGAAGACATTGCGAAGTGGTCGCGCTATGTCGTGAACTGGCAGAAGTTAGAATTCAAGGACCATTGGATCGGGTCCCAGTGGCTCAATGGTCTACGAGCTCGCCTTGTAACCAGAAGGTCCTGGGTTCGAATCCCGGTGGGTGCGTACTGCTGAGGAGTCCCAAACTAGGACGAAACAGCTGTCCAGTACTCCCAGGTTTTCCAGTGGTTCTCTAACTGATGTCAGCTCATGATCAAATCCTGCATGCAATCAAACAAAATCCCTACAACAAACCAATACTTAAAAATTCATCTGGTGCTCACTAGTGACTGGCCCTATTCAGGCAGTTAACCTGGGGTTCTAGTGGGAAGCCGTGACCAGTAGGGTACAGCAGGTTGAAGATGAGGCAGTAACTCATCGAAGAAGACATTGCGAAGTGGTCGCGCTATGTCGTGAACTGGCAGAAGTTAGAATTCAAGGACCATTGGATCGGGTCCCAGTGGCTCAATGGTCTACGAGCTCGCCTTGTAACCAGAAGGTCCTGGGTTCGAATCCCGGTGGGTGCGTACTGCTGAGGAGTCCCAAACTAGGACGAAACAGCTGTCCAGTACTCCCAGGTTTTCCAGTGGTTCTCTAACTGATGTCAGCTCATGATCAAATCCTGCATGCAATCAAACAAAATCCCTACAACAAACCAATACTTAAAAATTCATCTGGTGCTCACTAGTGACTGGCCCTATTCAGGCAGTTAACCTGGGGTTCTAGTGGGAAGCCGTGACCAGTAGGGTACAGCAGGTTGAAGATGAGGCAGTAACTCATCGAAGAAGACATTGCGAAGTGGTCGCGCTATGTCGTGAACTGGCAGAAGTTAGAATTCAAGGACCATTGGATCGGGTCCCAGTGGCTCAATGGTCTACGAGCTCGCCTTGTAACCAGAAGGTCCTGGGTTCGAATCCCGGTGGGTGCGTACTGCTGAGGAGTCCCAAACTAGGACGAAACAGCTGTCCAGTACTCCCAGGTTTTCCAGTGGTTCTCTAACTGATGTCAGCTCATGATCAAATCCTGCATGCAATCAAACAAAATCCCTACAACAAACCAATACTTAAAAATTCATCTGGTGCTCACTAGTGACTGGCCCTATTCAGGCAGTTAACCTGGGGTTCTAGTGGGAAGCCGTGACCAGTAGGGTACAGCAGGTTGAAGATGAGGCAGTAACTCATCGAAGAAGACATTGCGAAGTGGTCGCGCTATGTCGTGAACTGGCAGAAGTTAGAATTCAAGGACCATTGGATCGGGTCCCAGTGGCTCAATGGTCTACGAGCTCGCCTTGTAACCAGAAGGTCCTGGGTTCGAATCCCGGTGGGTGCGTACTGCTGAGGAGTCCCAAACTAGGACGAAACAGCTGTCCAGTACTCCCAGGTTTTCCAGTGGTTCTCTAACTGATGTCAGCTCATGATCAAATCCTGCATGCAATCAAACAAAATCCCTACAACAAACCAATACTTAAAAATTCATCTGGTGCTCACTAGTGACTGGCCCTATTCAGGCAGTTAACCTGGGGTTCTAGTGGGAAGCCGTGACCAGTAGGGTACAGCAGGTTGAAGATGAGGCAGTAACTCATCGAAGAAGACATTGCGAAGTGGTCGCGCTATGTCGTGAACTGGCAGAAGTTAGAATTCAAGGACCATTGGATCGGGTCCCAGTGGCTCAATGGTCTACGAGCTCGCCTTGTAACCAGAAGGTCCTGGGTTCGAATCCCGGTGGGTGCGTACTGCTGAGGAGTCCCAAACTAGGACGAAACAGCTGTCCAGTACTCCCAGGTTTTCCAGTGGTTCTCTAACTGATGTCAGCTCATGATCAAATCCTGCATGCAATCAAACAAAATCCCTACAACAAACCAATACTTAAAAATTCATCTGGTGCTCACTAGTGACTGGCCCTATTCAGGCAGTTAACCTGGGGTTCTAGTGGGAAGCCGTGACCAGTAGGGTACAGCAGGTTGAAGATGAGGCAGTAACTCATCGAAGAAGACATTGCGAAGTGGTCGCGCTATGTCGTGAACTGGCAGAAGTTAGAATTCAAGGACCATTGGATCGGGTCCCAGTGGCTCAATGGTCTACGAGCTCGCCTTGTAACCAGAAGGTCCTGGGTTCGAATCCCGGTGGGTGCGTACTGCTGAGGAGTCCCAAACTAGGACGAAACAGCTGTCCAGTACTCCCAGGTTTTCCAGTGGTTCTCTAACTGATGTCAGCTCATGATCAAATCCTGCATGCAATCAAACAAAATCCCTACAACAAACCAATACTTAAAAATTCATCTGGTGCTCACTAGTGACTGGCCCTATTCAGGCAGTTAACCTGGGGTTCTAGTGGGAAGCCGTGACCAGTAGGGTACAGCAGGTTGAAGATGAGGCAGTAACTCATCGAAGAAGACATTGCGAAGTGGTCGCGCTATGTCGTGAACTGGCAGAAGTTAGAATTCAAGGACCATTGGATCGGGTCCCAGTGGCTCAATGGTCTACGAGCTCGCCTTGTAACCAGAAGGTCCTGGGTTCGAATCCCGGTGGGTGCGTACTGCTGAGGAGTCCCAAACTAGGACGAAACAGCTGTCCAGTACTCCCAGGTTTTCCAGTGGTTCTCTAACTGATGTCAGCTCATGATCAAATCCTGCATGCAATCAAACAAAATCCCTACAACAAACCAATACTTAAAAATTCATCTGGTGCTCACTAGTGACTGGCCCTATTCAGGCAGTTAACCTGGGGTTCTAGTGGGAAGCCGTGACCAGTAGGGTACAGCAGGTTGAAGATGAGGCAGTAACTCATCGAAGAAGACATTGCGAAGTGGTCGCGCTATGTCGTGAACTGGCAGAAGTTAGAATTCAAGGACCATTGGATCGGGTCCCAGTGGCTCAATGGTCTACGAGCTCGCCTTGTAACCAGAAGGTCCTGGGTTCGAATCCCGGTGGGTGCGTACTGCTGAGGAGTCCCAAACTAGGACGAAACAGCTGTCCAGTACTCCCAGGTTTTCCAGTGGTTCTCTAACTGATGTCAGCTCATGATCAAATCCTGCATGCAATCAAACAAAATCCCTACAACAAACCA